TCGGTGCTAGTTCTGGAGGTACTGTGCGACCGCGACCGTACTTCGTTCCTCTGCTTCAGCAGGTTCTTGGTCTCCCTCCTTCTACTGGCCTTACTCCTCCCTTACTTTGTCCACCGCCTGACCAGTCCCAGCCGCAGTTACAGCCAGCCTCCCCGTTGCCTGCTCCGTCTTCTTACACTGAGCAGCCCGGAGGTCTTACAGAGCGTCGTGAGCCTGCGTCTCGTCCTGCGTCGCCTGTTCGCGCTGTTCGCACTAGTCGTCATGTTCCGCGTCAGCGTCCTCCTCCTGTCCCCGGCACACACCAGACGGCACTTCGTCCTTCTGTTCCACTGCGTGTCCCTCTGCCGTCTCCTCCTGCGTCCTCCCTTGCTGACGGTCCGGACCCGGAGTCTGAGTCCCTTTGTGCTGCCAGTCCTACTGTCACGCGTCTCTGGCCGCTGTTGTCATTGACCCTTCGTTTGAGTCTACTGCTGCGTCTGCTCTTGTTGCTGAGCTGGTTGACTTTGCTGCTCGCTGTTGTCTTGAATACGCCGCTAGTCTTATTGCTGAGTCTGAGTCCGTCTGTCCTCCGTCTGTCGGGGTGAGTGTGCTCTTGGCACGGACGTCCTTGAGGACAGGCAGTAGGATTTTGAGTGTTTTGCAGCTGCTGTACCTCATCTCGTGTCCATGCTGATTGCACCAAGGGAGACCCGGATGCACCAGACATCCCGACCCCGCGCTCCTACGCAGAGGCGATAGAGGGTCCCTACTCCTCTCAGTGGCAGTGAGCAATGGACGTAGAGATGGCATCCTAGAAGTCCACAGGCATTTACGTCGACGAGGTTCCCCCACCTGGGGCGAACATCGTCAGTGGCATGTGAATTTTCAGGGTGAAGCGGCCGCCGGGTTCTCCGCATGTCTTCAAGGCGCGTTATGTTGCACGAGGCTTCAGCCAGCGACAAGGAGTTGACTTCTTCCACACCTTCTCCCCTACCTCGAATATGACTACTTTTCGGGTGTTGCTGCACGTCGCCGCTCAGCGTGACTACGAGCTTCACTCTCTTGACTTCAGCACTGCTTTCTTACAGGGCAGCCTGCACGAGGAGATCTAGCTGCGCCACCCACCTGACTTCACTAGGTCGTTTCCTGCAGGTACCCAGTGGAGCCTCCGGCGGCCAGTCTACGGTCTCCGCTAGGCGCCTCACGAGTGGCACGACACACTGAGGACGACGCTTGCGGCTCTTGGGTTTGCTCCTTCGACTACTGACCCGTTGCTGTTTCTGCGCAACGACACTTCGCTGCCGCCGTTCTACATCCTCGTGTACGTTGACGACTTGGTCTTTGCCAATGCTGACACTGCTGGACTGGCCCACGTGAAGTCGGAGCTACAGAAGAGACACACGTGGACAGACCTGGGTAAACTGCGTAGCTATCTTGGCTTGCAGGTCATCCAGGACAGAGCACAGCGCACCATTACCTTGACTCAGTCACACATGGTGCAGCAGGTCCTTCAGCGCTTCGACTTCCAGTACTCCTCGCCACAGTCCACTCCTCCGCCTACCGGTCACTCGCTCTCAGCTCTGCCTTCGGATGAGTCCGTAGAGCCGAGTGGCCCGTATCCAGAGCTTGTGGGCTGCCTCATGTACCTGATGACCTGCACTCGATCTGACCTTGCTTACCCTCATAGCATCCTGGCACGCTACGTTGCGCCGAGGAGACACCGACCAGAGCACTGGAAGGCCGACTAAGAGGGTGATGCGCTACTTGTGCAGTACGTCGGGCATGGGGCTCGTGCTTGGAGGACGGGCTCGAGTTGTCCTCACTGGTCACGCAGACGCTTCTTGGGTTGACGACTTGGCTACGCAGCGGTCGTCATAGGGTCACACCTTCAGCCTTGGCTCCGGCTCTGTTTCGTGGCGGCTACCCGCTCGTCTTCTGTTCTCGGCTCCAGTTGTGAGGCTGAGATCTACGCAGGGGCCATGGCTGCACAGGAGTTACGCTGGCTCACCTATCTGTTGACCGACTTGGGAGAGCCGCCTCGTTCTCCTCCAGTTCTGTACGTCGACAACAAGCACATCTCTCTGAACTACTTCCTTGCTCGAGAGTTGCAGCAGCGTGGTCAGCTTCGTCTTGTTTACGTGTCCTCTCAGGCCAACACTGTTGATATCTTCACCAAGGCACTTCAGGCTTGTGATCATCAGCGTTTCTGTACTGTTCTAGGGCTTGTGCCTACTTTGCCTCACTTGCTCACTTCTTGACTTTGCTTGTACTGTGATCTATATACATATACTTGCATGCTTACACTTGCTAGGTTGTGATCACTGTATTGCTTGTTCTCCTATATATCTATAACTCTGCATATGAACTAGCCTTTTGGCCATTTGCTTGTGCTTAGTCTGCGTGGTGACTTTGTGATCCACCCTGAGCTTGCTTTGCTTTTCTTGACCGGTCTTGTGACCTCTTGTTCTCCCCCACTTTGCCTATGGGGGTGTGTCAAACTTATATGTTGCTGATAGTGTAGGCTGTAGTGGGGTAGCCCATATGGGGTACAACCCAATTAGGGTTAGCACTTGTACCCATCCTGCTGTTAGTTATTTCATTCTCGTTCGTTACTTCTGACACTGCGAAGTTGCTGCAACAGTTCGCTACGAGAGAGAACGCGAGGACAGCGGCTCCTAGGTGCTAAGGGGCGTGAGTCCCTTCGAGTGCAAAAAATCAAAAGTTGATTTCTCTGGGTGCGGAGATGCGCGGTCCGAAAAATATTGGCTCTGAATGCCAAGTGTTGTGGTGCAATGGAACGAGATTGCGAGGATCAGGGCTCTTGCTAGGATTCAGGCCCGTCTGACATCCTCCCCCAAAAAAAATCGTTTCGTCTGACCTTGAGACGGGCAAAATTTCATGGTATGTTTTTTCAGATGAAAGTTGGAGCTATGTCTGTTTTTTAAGACGATTTTTGTTGCATGGTCTGATTGCACTCTACACTGGCCGGCCATAATACGGTAGAAATAGGAGTTCACAAGTACGAAATGAAAAAGTCGCTGACTAACATGACAAGCGTGACCACTGACCAGCCAGGTGGCGAGGGGGACTAGTACAGGGGGAGGACCGTGCTCTGTTGAATTTGTGCGACGACCAGGGGGAATGAACTGGGGCTGGGAGAGGATCGAGGGACTGGGGGAGAGTGTGGGGGGGGGGGGGGGGGGGGGTGTGTTGACTGGTAGAGGAGCGAGGTTGACTGCGGGGGGGCTGGGCTGCTAGAGGAGCGAGGGACTTCGGGGAGGCTCCTGGTACTGTACAATCGAGGAACGAGAGACTGGGGGGTGGGGGGGGGTTTGCAGGAGGGGTGAGGGACTCGAGGGGGCAGGGGGGAAGGAGACGGGAGGGGAAAAGAAGGGTGGGGGGGGGGGGGGGGGGGGTGTACCTCCATACTTCGTCGGTATCAGATGAAAGCAATACTCGGTGTCCGAAATGTCAGACAAAATATAACGCGCTGCCTTATTTTTAAGACGAAATAAAATCCTCTGTCTTATGGTTCAGATGAAATTAAATTGCTGGTCTTGAAAATCATATGAAACGAAAAAAGTAGGTCTGTTTTTCAGACCATCAGACCGATGTGGTCTGATAACCAGAGCCCTGGCGTGGATTGCGCTAGGTGTCAAACGAGTACAAAGTACGAGCGAAGGCATGAGCGAATACATGTGCGGAACATGTAACGGTTACGCGGTGTGTGCGAGCTAGCTAGTGCTAGTCTGGCATCGAGGCTCGGGCTAGTTCTGAAGCGTAGGCCGACTGGGCTAGGCCAGCGGTGCATGGTTTGGTAAAACAGTGCGCGCGAAGTTGGCGAAGCCCCGTTTGCAGTAACGGGCGAACAACGGCGGCTGCTGCTGTACGTACGCGATGTTGACAGTCTTGGTAAAGAATGGTGAGAAAATTCCTTACAACGGTATAGGATGAAGACAGTCTTTTTTCTCAAAACATTGTACGCTTGCCAAAAAAATGCTCACAAGAAAACTTGATGTAGGTGTGCACGATAAGACCCTAGGTTGATATACCCCGGTGATTACAATACGTGCGGTATCCCCATTCGCACTACTGCAAATCATCACACACTACTGCCCTCTTCCAGCCAACCACTACCACCTTCATGAACTTGATTTCTTTCAAATCACCTTTCACAATCCCAGCCCCCCAGTTCACTGCCACAGCCGCTCCACCTCCTCATGCACCTCCCTCACCCTCTCCATCTTGATTCGACGACGCACTTCACAACACAACACCCCCCTTTAAGCCCAAAACCCGCAGTCCCCCAATCCCCCAATCCTTGCATCTCATCCCAGCCACATCCTATCGCTCTGCTCTCAAAAGTCCCTCTCTCTTGTCTCAACGCCCTCTCAGTCACAGTACCACCCCCCTACAGTCCCGGACCCATCGTCCTCCCATCCATGCATCTCAGCCCAGCCACTACATCCCACCGTACCACTTTGTAGCTGCTCCAGCTACTCCCTCTGCCTCGACTCTTCCTCATCGTTCCCTACGCCACAGTACCACAACTCTACATTCCATTTGAGGATTCTCAAGAGGCTCTCATCTCGTCTCGTCTCGTCTCGTCTCGTCTCGCCTCGTCTCGACACCTCAACCTCCTCACTCACAGTATCAACCGCGTACGGACAGACGAAGTCCCACACCGTCCTCCCATCCTTACGCCTCAGCCCAGCCACATACTGTTGTTCCAGCTGCTCCTGCACCTCCCTCGGCCTCTGTCCCTGCCCATGCACACCCTCACAGTCCCAAACCCACCGTCCGCCCATCCTTACGTCTGAGACCAGCTACATACTGTCGCTCCAGCTGCTGCTGCTGCTGCTGTTGCAGTTCCCTCTGCCTCCGCCGCTGCCCATGCACACCCTCACAGTCCCAAACCCACCGTCCTTCCGTCTTTACACCTCAGACCGGCCACGTACTCTCGCTCCAGCTGCTCCTGTAGCTCCCTCTGCCTCACCCCCGTATCACCCAAATCCTTGTCCTTAAAGCCCCAAACCCACCGTCCTCCCATCCTTGCGTCTCAGCCCAGCCACGTATTGTCGCTCCAGCTGCTCCTGCAGCTCCCTCTGCTTTTCTTCTGACATCACCACCCCCACTGGTGCATTGGCTGCTGCTGCTGCTGCTACTGCCGTGGCTGGAGCGGCCTTTGCTCCCTTCAACCCCTGCACGGCACGCCAGGGCACAGGGATGCATGGCGAAGGTAAGAAAAAAGGGGGATGGGCAGGCGAGAAGGTAGCATAGGGAAGATTGGATAAGTCTGTGCAATCTGCAGCAGCTGCTGGCATGGCTGGTGCTGCGTTCGCTCCTTTCAGCCCCTACACACCATCGCGACTCATGAGGCACATGGGACGTGTGGAGGAGGGAAGACCAGAGGTGTGTCAGGGAGGGGGGAGGTTAGCATAGGAGGGAAGAGGTTGGCACAGGGTAGATTAGATTAGCTGGCTTGCCGTCCTTTTGAGACGTCTCAAAACTGGAGAGGGAGGGAGGGGGGACAAGAAATGGGCCCACATGTATCTTGCACCTGAATGTTGCAACAACAGCACATCACACGAAGCAGAAAAAGTTGAAACTTCACTATGAGACTTTGAATGAAACTTCACCATGAGCCTTTGAATGAAACTTCACCACGAGCCTTTGAATGAAACTTCACCACGAGCCTTTGAATGAAACTTTACCATGAGCTTTTGAAACTTCTCTTCTCGGCTCCGATCCCCAAAATGCACGTTCTCCCACCCCTTGCTGCTGCTGCCACCAACCCCTCCCGCACCAGCTGCACCAGTCGCACCCACACCAACTGCACCAGCTGCACCAGTCATGCCGGTCACTCCACCACCAGTTGGCCCTGCAGCATCAGCAGCAGCAGGAGGCGCGGCAACAGCAGCAGCAGGAGCCGTGGTAGCAGCTTGTGCAGAGTCCTGGAAAGGGGCAAGGGGAGGGTGGGTGACAGGGAGGGTGCCGTCTGGGAGCGTGAGGGGGGCGAAGAGTGTTAGATAACAGCGAAATGGACTAGAGTCACTAGACACATAGAGACAGACAGATAGCATAAACGCGTTCCAATGACAAATACTGAGCAGAAGGTTCTTAGGCAGACATCAAAACTTACTTATGAACAGTTTCCCAGAAGGGTCTTCCAGAGAAAGAACCTACCAATTGCACGACAAAGCTTACACAACTTTTTTTCGACCACTCTCGCCGTTCTGTCCCCTCTCTAACCTCGAATTCACCTTCCCCAACCACTCTCAACTCAATACCTCCCAACCAATTTCAACCCAACTCAACCTCTGAAACCATTCTCAGCCACTCTTAACCGCGCCTGACCTTCTTTGAGCCCCACAGCAGCTTCCTCTTCTCCTCTGCCGTCATCCCAGTCTTTCCGAGAGCCGCCCCTCCAACAACATTGCTCCCTGCGGCTCCTCCAATGCCTTTGCTCACTGGGCAAAGGCAGTGGGTGGAGAGGAAGGAAGGAAAGGGAGGGAAAGGAGATACAGAGGGCAGCGGGAGGAGACAGAAGATTCTGAACAATTGAGTAAAGAGACCTGGGCTCTGTCTCTCAAGCCCGGGCTGTCGTTCCAGAAACGTGGGAGCGACTGACAACTCTGGCTCTCAAACTGATGCACTTGAGGATTAGAGAATAAGACAAAGCTGCTGCTTGTACGGGGCATGATGGGGCTGCGGTAGCTGTAGTGACAGCCGTTGCAGGAAAAGGAGAAGCTGCAGCGGCAGCTGAGCTGCTGCTACTGCCATCGCAGGGTTCATATTTCAAATGCTGATTAATGCAAAGAGCCCACGCGTCTACTTGGTGCTGTCCATCATATCGAGACCACTGATTTCTAGACACAAAAGTGTGCCGGGGGAAGGTGAGAGGGAAGGAAGGTAAAAAAAGGGAGGAATGTAAAGGATGTATATTGACAGATGGACGCGAAGAGTTCAAGCTCCCACCTGGTGCTGTCCATTGCCGGAGGAACACGTTCTGTGTCTGGCGATCAATGCTCTTGAAGGCAATGGATAGCACTAGGTGGAAGCGTGAGCTCCCTGCATTCATCTGTCAATGTGCATCTTTTACCTTCCTCCTCCCGTTTGACCTTCCCTCCCTCTAACTTTCCCCTGGCACACGTTCTGTGCGAAGCGATCAGTGGTCTCGATGACAATGGACAGCACCAAGTGGGAGCGCGAGCTCTTTGCATCCATTTGTCGTTGCTGCAGTCATCTAAGTTGCTGCTACTGCTGCCGCTCCTGCAGGGCTCACATTTATCCCAACGTCTGTAGTCGTAGCACAAAAAACCCCAAAATCATCCACCTCCACCCATCACTCACTTAGGCTCTGGTTGCTTCAACCATCTGAGATGCTGCCCAACAACTCACACACCTCCCCTCTTCACCCACCCACCTCTCCCTTTCACTCACCCACCTCCCCCCTTCACCCACCCACCTCCCCCCTTCACCCACCCTCCTCCCCCCTTCACCCACCCGCCCCCCCTTGCACTCACCCACCTCCCCCTTTACTCACCCACCTCCCCCTTTACTCACCCACCTCCCCCTTTACTCACCCACCTCCCCCTTTACTCACCCACCTCCCCCTTTACTCACCCACCTCCCCCTTTACTCACCCACCTCCCCCTTTACTCACCCACCTCCCCCTTTACTCACCCACCTCCCCCTTTCATTCACCCATCGCCGCCGTTCTTGTTGCTGCAGCCATCTGCGCTGCTGCTGCCGCCGCTGCTGGCGCTGCAGGGTTCACCATCATCCCTTCAGCACTTGAAGCCGTAACACCAGAGAAGCCAGATGTAACAACCATCAACCACCCAACAACTCACCCACCTTCCCCCGTCACTCACCCATTGCCGCCGCTCTCGTTGCTGCAACCATCTGAGCTGCTGCCGCCGTCGCAGCCGCCGCTGCAGGGTTCACACTTATCCCGCCACCAGCTGAAGCCGCAACACCAGAAACCCCAGACTCACCTCCCCCCCCTCCTTCCCCCCGTCACTCACCCATTGCCGCCGCTCTCGTTGCTGCAACCATCTGAGCTGCTGCCGCCGCTGCAGCCGCCGCTGCAGGGTTCACACTTAGCCCGCCAGCTGTAGCCGTAACACCAGAGACACCAGATGTAACACCGGAAATTCCAGATGTAACACCAGAAGCACCGGATGTAACCGTTGAAAAGCTAGCTGTAGCACCGCCACCAGCAGCGCCACTGGCAGACACACCACCGGCAGCAGCAGAAGCTTGGATGCTGGCACCAATGCGAGCAGCGGCAGCAGCAGCAGCCGCTACAGCCGCTGCTGCCTGCATAGCTTTGTTGACAGAGGCAGCAGGAGGGGGCAGCAGCGCAGCAGCAGAAGCAGCAGTGGAAGCGGTAGGGGCGGGGGAGGCGGGGGAGGAGGCAGCAGAGGTGCACAGCGCACCTGCCTTGGCAGCAGCGAGACGAGCTTTCACCAGCGCCGCCAGCTCAGGGGGTAGTGCGTCCCCAGCAGGCAATGCACCTGCAGCAGGCGATGCACCTGCAGAGGGCAATGCACTCCCAGGAGGGTTCTTGGACTTGGTTGAAGCGACCGGTTTGCCCTTGGCAGGGCTGTTCCCCTCGCGGTTCTCTAAGCTCTTCCCTTCACGTTTCTGTGAGCCGTTCGCCTTGCTGCCTGTTCTGGGCCGCTTGGGACTTCTATCCGGATCTTCTTTCTCAGCAGGGCCATAAGAATCATCCTCAGAATCTCCTTCATCAGCAGGAGACGCTGCTGCTGCTGCGGCAGGAGAATCGTCTGAAAGCTCTCTATCCATGCCACCCCTCTCCTTCCTCCTCTCCTCCTTTCTCTTCCCTCTTCCCTCGTCGCTCGAATATTCCACCCTTTTCTCCTCTCTCTCCTCCCTCTGCTCCTTCCCCCCATCCTTCCTCCCATCCTTCCTCCCCTCCTGCCTCTCCTCCCTCGTCTGCTCCGCCCGTCGCTTTCGGTCCATGGAACCTTCCTCAGAACCTTCCTCGCAAAAGCTCGATCCTCTCTCCCTTCCCTTGCCCCCTCTCCCCTCGTCGTCCCCCACTCTCTCCGTTCCCCTGCCCCCTTTTCCCTCGTCGTCCCTCACTCTCCCCCTCCACCTCTCCAGTCTATCCCTGACCGCTCCTCTGGACTCGTTTTTTGGCAGATCTCTATCCTTATCCCCGTTCGTGTCTCGCAACTCCTTATCGCGGACACCTCTGTCTTTCCCTTCAGCACGGAAATCCCTACCCCTGTCACCGCTTCGAACGTCCCTATCACCGCTTCGAACGTCCCTGTCCCGGTTTCCGCGGATGTCCATATCGCCACCGCGCGCTTTCCGCTCCCGTTCTGCTCGCCGGTCCTCCCAACCACCCTCTCTCTCCTGAGAACCTTTCTCTCTTATCGTACCCCGGTCATCCCTACCCCTGTCCCTATTTCTGTCTCCATCCCTATCCCTATCTCCATCCCTATACCTATCTCCATCTCTATCCCTATCTCCACTCCTATCCCTATTTCCATCTCCATCTTCTTCCCTGTCCCACTTTCTGTCTCGCTCGATTCCTCGTTTCGCTTCCCTGATTCTCTCTTCTTCCTCCTCCCGCATTCGCGTCGACCGATCTACCTCCCGCTCCCGCTCCCGCGCTCCCCTCCCCTCTCCGCTCCTCCTAACTTCCAGTTCCCTGCTTTCCCGCTCTCCCCTTCCCTCTTCGCGCATCCGACGCGTTTCTTCCCCGTTCGTCTCGCTTCTTCTTTCCCACCCCTTTTCCCGCTCCCGCCCTCTCTCTTTGCTCCTATCTCTCTCCTTCTCCATCACTCTCGGTCGCTCCCTCTGCTCCCTCTCCCTTTCCTTCTCTCTATCCCGCTCTCCTCCCCTCTTCTGCCTCTCCCTCCCCCTGTCCATTGCCGTTCCCGTACCCCTAGCTGTGTTTGTTTCTAGATAAGTCTGAGAGAGTCCTTACCTCTGCTCTGTCTGTTTTCAACGTCCTTACCTCTTGCTCCACATCGTGATCTCTAATCCCTGCTTGTAGAGAAAAGAATGGCAGATCTAATTCTTCGTTGCTAACTACCTCGCTCTTAGACTTATCTGCTTAGCCTTCACAACGAAAAATCCACTTATCTGCTTAGCCTTCACAACGAAAATCCTTGTTCTGACAAAAAAAATAACGGGCTTGTTCACAGTCGATGCTCTTTAGAGCCCTGTTTTCTTCCGTTCCGCTCTTAACTTCTATACGCTCGTCGCCCGAAACCAAGTGACTGCTAGCTTGTACACGAGAGGACAAGATGACGAAGCGAGCAGCGTGAGGGATGGAATGCAGGCTGCGTGGCACAATTTCACAAAGCAGGAGCTGTGGAGCCAGTTTTATGACCGTTGATGTTTGCGTGTTTTGCCCGGTGAACTGGGGTGCAAAGCTTTTGTGCGGCTACGAATGTTCGGGTTTTGCGGGGGAACTACAGAACAATGCATTCAAGTATGAAAATCAAGAATGTGATGACTACTGGATGATTGAATAACGAGGTTATATAGGCGGAAACGAGCCAGGCGAGAACTTAGGGCTAGAAGTGGCTCGGAAGGTTGGCGAAAAGGGCGGAAGCGATTCGGGGTGGTTTGGCGCGAAAACGTAGGCCGAACCAGCTGACCCGAGCCATTCGGTACCGTACGCGCTGTCCCTCAGTACAGTGCAAAATCATATACTTCGACAGAAAGAAAAATAAAAACCTGCTCCAATTTCAAAATCTTGCACTGACGGCACTTTCAGTCTCAGGCAGTGATCCCAATAAGAAAACCGCACACGGAATTTGATTCTAACGTAGGAATTCAATATGTAAGTTACAAGTCAAGAGTAAGCTGCTGCTCCTCTTTCGTGAGAAAATGCAGCACATATGGCGTGAGCCTGATCGCCACCACCCACACCCCCAGCACAGCAAGGTGCTGCCTTAGCTGCTTCAACGCAGCAGCCTTCTCAGGACGACGAGGGGGACCTCCCATAAACATGCTGACAGACTGGGTACAGAGCGGTACTTAACGGTCCACAAAAGCGTAAGGTAGCCGGCGACAATGCACAGTGTGGAGCACCTTGCGATTACGGCGCTTCAGATCACGATGAGCCTCGGATTGAAAGGAGATTGGCCTCACGCCACACAGGAAGAGAGGCTGGTAGCTGATTGTGAGGGTTTGGTCGATAACCTGTGGAACAGTGAAGGATGGGAAAGAGGCGTGCTTGTGTTTGGGACCAAACTGGAGTTTCTACTCCCAAGGTCAACAGGAGAACAAAAGCGCTTTGAAGATTCGAGACGAGAAGGGGACGGGAAGGAGGAGAGGGGGAGGGGAGAGGAAGCAGTGGAGCATATACCGTATACTCCCGGACAAAACACCCCCCCATAATTGTACACCCCCGGGTAGCTTGTGCGGGGTGGGTGTTATGATAGACCTCGTTTCTACTATACCCCCCTTTTTGGCTGATTTTCTATAACACCCCCCCTTTTCTTACGGATTCATTATTATAGTCGTTAACGAGTAGCTGCAATACGGAAGAATGTCGTGTGAATTTCTCCCTCAATGAAATTTCGCGGTACATTCAAAGGCAATCTGCCGAGATTTGCCCCCTCCCACTATTTCTCTGTCGCCACGTGCAGGTGAATCTTCCGTTGCAAGTGGCAAGAGAGGTGCCACATGCCATTTTCGTGGGGGCGATGAAGTTCGAGGCCGAAACTCACATTCGCGCCTCAGGCAGTGATGCTAAAACGACCAGCAAAACACCCACATTGACTAATTAAAAAAACACTAACACTAAGATATGCCATATGTAAAGACCCGGGTATTATGTATTTTTTTCCTATGAGGAGACCCCCCCCATTTTTTCCCTGTATTTTTAGCTATACCCTAGGGTGTTATGTCCGGGAGAATACGGTAAGAGACGAGATGAGGGAGACGAGGGGAAGAAAGAAACGTTTCCGAAAGGAAGAGCCGAGAGGAGATAATAGGGGGAGAGAGAAACGGTTAGCGGACACACTAGCGAAGCCAGAAATAGGAGGGCCGCGGAAAGAGCGGAGATAATGGTACCGGAGCGGAGAGAAAGGGTATGCAGGCAAGGCGATGAGGGAAACAGGAAGAGACGGAGAGCAGCAGGACCGGAGACGGGATCGGAGGGTCGGAGCGAGTTTTGAGACGTCTCAAAACTCGAGGCGACAGGGGAGAGTCGGAGGGTTGGAAATAGGAATAGAGGAACCGGGGAGTAGTGGCGAATATCGCAGAGGAGAGATGCATGGCATTCAGACACGTTCAGGCAGTCCAAGACAATCAGGACGACCAGGGAACGCCTCTCCTTCTTCTCTCTGTTTCAGTCTAATTGTATATTGTTCCCTCGAATCGCAAACTTCTACGCGGCTCATGTTTCCAGTTCTAGCGCGCGGCCGTGGAAACAGAAGCAGAGGCTAGCGGTTAGTGACTAAAGCGACATGGAAGTGACTGACGGCAGGTAATCTTAGGCTACCCTTCCCTCTACCACCGCCAGCCTGCCTCAACGGCGCGCTCTGCGAGCTAGATCAAACGGAGTAACCCGATTCCGCAGCCTCGCGCGCTAGATCGATTTCAACTTTCAAACCCTCGAATCCTCTCGCAGGCCTCGCAGACTTTGCAAGTTTTCGCAAACGGTCACCCAAACTCCCTCCCCGCGCTTACCTATATCTCGTCGGCTCTATGGGCGTTGGCAGTGAAATGACGCTACGATCGAAGCACCAACGGGAGACGACGGAAGAAAAAGGAGAAGACGGGAGGGGAATTGAGGCTGCTGAGAGATAAAATACACGGATGTGACAAGCATACCATGGGGGAATTTGGGCGGAAGAGAGGAGGGTTTGGCAGAAAAATTGTGTGGGAGAGGTTGGGGGAAGATCGTTGGAACTGGTTACTACTTGTGTGTCGCTGAGTTCGTTAAGATAAACGACACGAATCAAGCTCTTTCTAAAGGTTTTGCTTGTTAATTTCGGCGCTCGTTCGCCTCGTTAGCCAATCCTTGTTGCCAGAAACGTCCCCCTTTCAATCTCCCCAGTCCCCCTTCATTCCCTCTCCCCGCCCTCTCCCTTACCGCCCTTTCCCCCTTTCCTTCCGCGAGACTTGACTCCTTGGGATTGCCGCAAATAGTGGACTGGGCTTCCCTTGCTTCCCTGCTTGGCCGTAAATCGGAGTCGAGACGAGGCTGAAGTGCCGCGTTGCTGCGTCTCCGCCGTTTCCTCTTCGCACCGAACCGAACCCATCATCGCCATTCCGCATCTCCCGCCTCCCATCTCGAGTTAGCCGTCCGCCATTTCTCAGACTCCGATCGCCCATTCCCCGTTTCGCCTCCGCGTCGTCTCTCCAGATCCGCCGATCCGGCGCCTCGATAGTACCGATTCTGTCACCTTCATTTGATCACCGCCATCCATCCGATCGTCGTCGCTCATCGCGTCCGTCGCCATGCAGTCGTCACGCGTCGCACGGGTCCTGGCGACGGCCGCCAGCCGCTGCTCCACCTACCTGGTACGATCGCACGACAAACATCTGCGACCTGGTACGATCGCGCGACGAATATCTGAGACCTGGTACGATCGCGCGACGAAGATTTGAGACCTGGTACGATCGCGCAACGAATATCTGAGACCTGATACGATTGCACGCCACCTGAGACCTGGTGGGTCGTCACGTAGAACGTAAACACCGGTTACGCCTTCACGGGGATGTTACTACCTGATCCGATTTGCATGACGGTTATTCTGAGACTGTTGCGATGTAACTACCGGGTAGGTTCGCAAGCTTCGCTTTTTTTGGAGGACGTAGAGGCGCGAACACTGTCCAGATGCTCTGTATGGATGCGATTCGACTCTTCAGGCGGTTCTTAATCGCAACTTGTGATGATACCACTTGTGATGGGAAATAGGTGACTGCAAGAACGGCAATCCACCCTACCGATAGATACCGTCGATAAGGTCCAGATGGACTGCCGTTCATCAATTTCGTTGTTGGATAGTCAAGTTCATATTCCACTCCTACAGCTCTAGATCAGAGCACGCATTGTCCCAAACAACGCAACCTATGCGAGAAGAAGAGGTTCAAACTAAAGTTTAGGAATACTCTGTATATTCTATCTCTCCCCCCTTCCCCCCCTCCCTCTCCAACCTTCCCCCTCTCCCCACACACCCCTTCCCCTCCCCTCCCTCCCCACATGCCGCAGCGCCGTGGTCAGGGCGTGGCGGCCGCCTTGCCCTCACCAGGCGCCTCCCCCATGCCCGTGCCAGCCGCCTCCCCCTTGGCCTTAGTGGCACCGCAAGCAGCTGCCTCCTCTCGCCTCTTCTCCACGGCTCTCAACATCGTGAGTGACCATGAACGAAGCATGAATGAAGCACAAAGCGGGCGGCTTGGATTATGAAGCATGAATCATGAAGTGAAGCGTGAAGCACCACCACACATCAAACATGAAGCATGAACCTCCATTGCCACCGCAGCACGGGTGCAGTGCAGTAATACTGCGTCACGCAGAGAGGGAGGACGGCGTGACAGAGAAGGAAGGAACGCCCATGAGGAGGCCACTCTGTCACGCCGTTCCGCCTCCCTCCGTCGCACCACTCCGTTTCTCAGTTACCTTTTGATTAACTTTTCGAGAAGTCTCAAAAATCGCCTTTGAACATCACGACGTGCAGATAGCTATGACTTCTTCTCCATTCCCCTCCCCCTGTCCCTCTGCCCCACTTCCTCTCTCCCTCCCCTGTCTCCTTGCTTCTCCTTTCTTTTTTCCCCTCCCTCTCACCCTCCCCTGCCCCCTCTACCCACCCCATTCTCCCTCCTTGTTCACCCATGCAGCATCGCGACTCCCCCGGCAACAGCCACGAGACGCCCTCCGAGTCTTAAGGCGACTCAATGTTTTTCCCTCTCCATCCCCCTGTCTCTCTCCCGCCTTTCCCCTCCCCCTCCCATTCCCCCTCTACCCACCCCACTCCCCACTTGTCAATCCACGCAGCATCGCGACTCGCTAGACATCAAACTCAAGACGCCCTTCGAGACATATGGCGCCTCAAAAGTCCTCTGCCCTCTTCTCTTCTCCCCCTTTCCCCCCTGCGGTTCAAACCATGCAGCACCGCGACTCGCCAGACAACAACCTCGAGACACCCTTTGAGTTTTCCCCCCTCACCCTGAAAAAGGTGACGCCTCTCCCCCCTCACCCTGAAAAAGGTGACGCCGCTCCCCCCTCACTCTGAAAAAGGTGACGCCAACAGCCCTATATCCCCCTCACCCTCCGCACACCCTCCTCCACACACCTTCTCCTCACCCGCCGCTCGCCCCCGCCATCCCTTCGCCCTCATCCTTGGTGACACTTTCTGTTTGAACACGCCCTTTTTCTCACCTGTGGCTCATCCCCTCGTTTGTGTCACATCTATGAGATCTCACATCCGCATGCACATTGACAACCCCTCCCTCCCTTTTGTCAGATTATGGCGTGCCTCAAATACGGCTCATTCATTAGCGTCACACTCACTGCCACGTACATCCTTTAAAATCACATGTGGCCCATCCCCTTGTCTGGGACACATATGTGTGATTCCACATTCGCATGCACATCACCACCCACTTTTGAGTCGACTCAAATGCACATCACCACCCACTTTTGAGTCGACTCAAATGCACATCACCACCCACTTTTGAGTCGACTCAAATGCACATCACCACCCACTTTTGAGTCGACTCAAATGCACATCACCACCCACTTTTGAGTCGACTCAAATGCACATCACCACCCACTTTTGAGTCGACTCAAATGCACATCACCACCCACTTTTGAGTCGACTCAAATGCACATCACCACCCACTTTTGAGTCGACTCAAATGCACATCACCACCCACTTTTGAGTCGACTCAAATGCACATCACCACCCACTTTTGAGTCGACTCAAATGCACATCACCACCCACTCCCCCTCCTTCCTCCTTCCCTCCCTTCCGCCAGGCGAACAAGATCATATCGCACTACCCCCCCAACTACCGCCAGTCCTGATTGACTCGACTTGTATATCATTTGCATCGCTACCCCCCTTTCCACCCGCCTCCCCTCCCTCCCGCCTGCCAGGCGAACGAGGTCATATCGCACTACCCAGCCAATTAACTCCAGTCCTGATAGATTGTACTTGTATATCATTTGCATCGCAATCCCCCCTTCCTCCCCCACCACCCCCTCCCTCCCCCCCTCCAGGCGAACGAGATCATATCGCACTACCCCGCCAACTACCGCCAGTCAGCCGTCATCCCCATCCTCGAAATCGTGCAGCACAGGCTCATGCCCTTCCTGATTCTTCCTCCGTTCATCTGTACATCACAACCCCTCCCTCCCACCCCAGGCGAATGAGATCATATCACATTACCCCGCCAACTACCGCCAGTCAGCCGTCATCCCCATTCTTGAAATCGTGCAGCAGCAGAACGGCGGCTGGCTCACCGTTGCTGCTATGAACAAGGTGTGTTAATGAGGCAGGCATGTGTGCATGGCATGGCGCCTGGGCTGCATGGGCATGGAGCTGGGTTAGAGGCAGGGCAATGCGTCATGTGTGCAACACTGATCGCGCAGCAGCAGCTGCTGCACGATTTCAAACCTTGTTCATAGCAGCAGCAGCAACACTGATCGCGCAGCAGCAGAATGGCGGGGGCGGCTGGCTCATCGTTGCTGCTATGAACAGTGTGCTGCTGCATGTGTACGTGGCAACAAGGTGTGCTGCTGCATGTGTAAGTGGCAACAAGGTGTGCTGCTGCATGTGTAAGTGGCAACAAGGTGTGCTGCTGCATGTGTAAGTGGCAACAAGGTATGCTGCTGCATGTGTAAGTGGCAACAAGGTATGCTGCTGCATGTGTAAGTGGCAACAAGGTATGCTGCTGCATGTGTAAGTGGCAACAAGGTATGCTGCTGCATGTGTAAGTGGCAACAAGGTGTGCTGTGTTGCTCAGGTATGGTGCCTGCTGCTTGCGTGAGTGACGCTTGAGCAGAGTGGCCTATGCTACTACAGCATTGCCTTCAAAGCACGCTCCCCCCTCCCAGCTGACAGGTTCGCGTGAATAAGGCCATGTTCCCTTTCTCCGATCATGTATCCTCCCTCCCGTCACCTTCTCTCCCTCTCATCACCTCCTCTCCCTCTCATCACCTTCTCTCCCTTCCATCGCATCCCTGAGTTTGCTCCACTCGACCAGGTGGCGGACCTATTGAGAATGCCCTACATTCTCGTTTATCATGTTGCAACGCTCCGCTTCTCGAAACACTTGATCAAATCCCATCACACTTAATCAAATCCCATGTCAATCTCCCGTCACACTTTGTCACTCCCATTTCAATCTCCCATCACACTTTTTCACTCCCAACATATTTTCTCCTCCTGTCCTGTCTTCTCTAACCCGTCGTCTCGTCTTCAACCCTCCCAAGTGGCGGACCTGCTGGGCATGCCCTACATTCGCGTGTATGAGGTTGCGTGCTCCTTTTCTCCCATCACATTTTCTCTCTTTTCGTATCTCCCTACCCAGGTGGCGGACCAAATGGACATGCCCTACATTCGCTTCGCATCTATCAAGAAACCTTCCCTTTCCCACTCTCATTATCTCCGTTCCTTCCTCTCTTCTCCCTTCCATCGCCTCTTTTCCCCACCTCCCAGGTGGCGGACCTACTGGGCATGCCCTACATTCGCGTGTATGAGGTTGCAACTTTTCCTCTACCCACTCTGATTTTCTCCCTCCCATCCTCTCTTCTCTCTCTTCTCTCCCACCTCCCAGGTGGCGGACCTACTGGGCATGCCCTACATTCGCGTGTATGAGCCTAAGCCACAGAGGTTGCGTCCTCCTTTTCTCTCATCACATTCTCTCTCTTTTTTCGTATTTCCTTGCTCAGGTGGCGGACCTACTGGGCATGCCCTACATTCGCGTGTATGAGGTTGCGACTTTCTACACCATGTTCAACAGACAACCGGTTAGTAATTCCGTGCTTTATAAAGAGGACAACGTTCTACACCATGTTAAAAAGACAACCGGTGCGTGCTGCTGTGCTGATAAACGATACAACTTTCAGTGGACATTGGGTGTCACGGAGATATGATATGATAGGAGTTGTCATGCCATGTACAAAATTGCAAGCAGAGTTCATGTTCATCACGTGTAGCGTATGTGGTTTTTAGGTGACTTATAAGTCGACTCAAAAGTCACCTCATGCCATGTACAACATTGCAGAGTTCATATCCATCACATGTAGCGTATGTGGTTTTTCTAGCATGGCATGTGGCATGCAATGCACTGCATGGCAAGGCACATGCGAGTGCATCATGTGGCGGGTGGCATGGCATGTGTGTCACCGCCTTCATGTCATGCACACATGTACCACATGTGTGGCACGTCAATCACGTCAATCACATTAATCACGTCAATCACATCAATCACGTCAATCGCATCAATCACGTCAATCACATCAATCACGTCAATCGCACGTAGTTTGTCTTTTTTTTAGTCGACTAAAAAAATGGACTCATGGCATGTGTGCCACCG